GAGCCACTTCCTGTGGGGTTCAGACCCAGGGCGGTGCACAGCGAGCGCCTGTGGACCGCAGTATGACATCTCCACCGCTGGATTCCCACATTTCCCTTCAAGAAATGCTACCCGCTGTAGGAACTTCAAGGATACTCACGATCGCTGCTTTTTCTCGTCTCTGCTGCCACCGGCAAGCCACCATTTAAGGGGCACAGTGTCCGCTTTTGCTCCTTCCTACACTTCTGCCTGTTTCATCTTCCCCAAACTCTCTAAAGTAAAGGGTTACTGTCGGCCCTCTGTATCCACGGGTTTTATATCCGCGGATTCAACCAACCGTGGATCGAAAACAGCATTTGTGACTCACAGCTGGGAATCCACGGATGTGGGGGGCTGACTATGCACGTTCCATGCCGTTCCGTAAAAGGGACTTGAGTGTCAGCGGATTTTGGTACCTGCGGTCCTGGAACTAAGCCCCCCGCAAATACCGGGGGACGACTGCATTTGCCTCTTCTCACAGAGGAGGAAAAGGGGGCGCAGAGAGGTTAAGGAACTGTCTGAAGTCACACAGCTATTGTGGAGTGGAGACCTGAACCTAAACAGACAAAGCTCAGTACTTTCATCACCCCGATTTTGAATCCCACGTTCCTAGGTTACAGCATCAGGACAGAATTCTATGGCAAATGCTGAAACGTGCAGATGTCATACTTGGTCTTGAAGAGAACGGACTCCAGGCTCTAATCACTATAGGCTCTCACCTTCTATATACTTTTATAGCAAGAACTAACCTTATAGATTTTCGAAGCTTCTAGTGAACTAATAACTTAAAATACAGTTGGTTACACCAATTATTGGTGAATCTAAGTGGACGCTTGCACCCCAGGACCCTTACCAACATAAGCTTCGGATCCCGAGCTCTGGAAGGCCTGGCACGCTACGCACGCCTCACACTGGCTCCTGGCCTCTGCTCCCCACTCAGCCCTGTTAGTGTATTTCCCCGGCCCTTTTTGAAAAGTCCTTTAAAGTGACTTATTGAATTATCAACTGAAAACCACCTGCTTCCAGCCAGAAGTCAAACATCTGAGAGATCAGGAGTGGGAAGGACAGGAAAAGGTGCAGGAGGGGGCACCTGGAGATTATCAGACCGTTTGCAGAGATGCTGTGCAGCAATGTGGGGACCGGCCTGGGGAGCCCCATGGCTGTGGGTGAGACACAGAGGACTGATGCAGAACCCGCTGGGGTCTGGGGCGTGCCACCCTGGACCCCAGAGCAGGGGTCTTGCTGGTCAGCTGGCAGGGGCGCTGGGTGGGCTGCAGGCTGGGTCACGGAGGTCACGGAGGTCACGGAGGAGTGAGTGAGCTCCAGGAACAAGGGACGGGAGCGGGAGAGGCCGGCTACCCCAGAGCGGCCGATAGGGGAGGAACACACGAGAGCGCGCAGTGCTGGAGTCCAGCACTCTGGGGACAGAAGCCTCGCTTTACAGCACTGTCATTGCCCAAGGAGTCAATGTCCCCACCATGGCGGATTTCAAGTTATCCACATGAGCTCGGTGAAGGCAGAGCTGGGAAGAGACGGGAAGAAACCGCTCCCCCAGGGCACACCCCGCTGCCAGGGTGCTCCGAGTTCTCGAGGCGCCTGGCTTTGCCTCAAGGTCCTGGTCTGGAGCTTCTGAGCTGGGGAAATGTCACGGTCACAGCTTTGGGTGGGTGGAAGATAGGGGAGTTCTTAAGGCCCAGCAATAAACTTCGCCGGCCCAGGCTCTGCCTGTGGCCATCGCCACAGAGGCCGCACGCTTCCCCGCACTGCAAAAGCAGCTTTTCAACTGTCCCCGGTCCCCCGCTGAGAGCCGGGACCTCCTCCTCAGGGCAGTTTGACCACGAGGACAAACCCTCACGCGTTTTGCAGTGGGAGGACACACAGGGGCAGCCGAACGTCGAAGGCCGGCAGTTCCACGAAGCACGGGGAGCACGTCGAGCCTGGCTTCGGTGTGCGTGTCTGGTCCGTGCCTCTCTGCTAAAATCGGAATTTGACGCCTGACGATCCTTCGAAAGGGCGACACTTCAGCCTCAGAGGTTCAGCTGGAACATCGAGATCGTCAACAGCAGCGAGTAAACGGGTCCAGTGCAGACTCTGCTGATAAAACCACCTTGTACGACCCTGCCAGCTCCAGACGGCAAGAACGCAGATGACCTCCCGGCCCGTCTGTGGCAGTCCCTGCCTCCGAGCCAGAGCCGGTGAGGATGGGGCCCTGGGGCCCCAGGTGGCCACGAGTCCTTTCCAAGGCCCTGTACGTGACATTGCATTCTTTTCTTAGAGAAGGCCCCGGAATTAAATACGTTTTGGGCCTCACGAGGCCCCATCCCTCTCAGCCCCTGGGCGCCGGGGGGTACCCGTAAGCTCATTCCTCTGTAAGCATTGAGAGACTCGTCTGCATGCGAAACGAGGATTCTTAGACCTAGAAACTCAACTAGGGCTATTGAGATTGCAAAGGCTTTGACCCGTTTCCCTCTGCGATGTCTGACGTTCTGATCTGCTGAGGACAATTCTACTTGCTGGCTCTGCCTGGGTCAAGAGATCGGAGTTTTAAAGTGCTGGCCGAAATACAACAGTGCTTTTGTGTATGCTGCTGAGAAGCCATCAGAAGCCTCTCGATGGCTGCAGAGACTCCTGCAGAGACGAAGGTGGGTACCTGCTCTCCCTTGCTACACGACTGCAGACAAAACGTCCTTAATGACCCAAAACGAGAGGTCACGTGACAGACATCTGTTTTTATCCCAGGCTAATTTTGCTCCCCGCGGATGTTTGCACATTGTCCCCAGACTTCTGGGCACTGTGGGAAAAGGCCGTGAGCCACCCCGGAGAGCGAGAGCCGGGCACTGCTCCTCTCCAGGGCTGGCTGGAGGCCGACGCCCGGCCCTGTCCGCAGGCCCGCCTCCCGCCCGGCGCTGTGCAGAAGCGGGTTCGGTGTGTCTCCCCCCTCCTGGATTCCACTGGAATACTTGACCCACAGTCAACCTACTTCTAATCCTGGCGCTGAGTCAGCTCCTTTTCTATCCACTCGGAGTTCTGCCAGCTCTGTCCTGAGCCGCGGATGCAAACTGCTGAGGCATTTCCTGTTCCAGGTGCTTTCGAGCAGAAAACCAGGCAGCGTGGGCTGGAGGGAGGCGGGGTGAAATGCTTCAGAAACTGCTCCCAGCAAATGTGAGGAGTCGTTCAGAGTGACACGGGGTTGGCTGCCAAAGCACCCAGACCCGAGTGCAAACGAGGCTCTGAACTCACTTTACGTGGACCACCTCTGAGGGTGCCCGTGTGCACACACCGGGCGCTGGGGTACTGGGGTTGCTGGCCGACGAGATAGGGGACCGGGGCTGGCGGCGACCTCCCATGGCGGTCCTGTGCGTCTGGGGAGCTGAGAAGTTGTCCGGAGACACTGAACCCCTCTCTTCTCTCTCCTTGGGGTGGAGGTTTGCTTCTGTGAAGCCCGCACAGGAAGTAGCAGCAATGGGTGGGATTAACGTGTGTCGTCCAATGAAAGGCCGTCCCCATCTGTCAATCTCTGGCCACGCTGGAACACCTCAGCACGTGGGGGAGGCTCTGCGAACTGCGGCCAAGCCAGACAAAGTGAGGAGCTTGGATGAGCGACTGAACCCCCTGGGCCTCAGTTTCCCCTTGGAGAAGTGGGCACAGCAACACTGTGCAGTACATTTGGGGGGCCGGGGTCAGGTCTGCAAGGCATTCCCCTAAGACAGGCGGATGAGGATTATCTTAGCGCCCGCGTTTCCTAACGCTTACATAACAGGATGGCCGTCTTCGTCACAGACTTGCCCAGTCGTGGTTTGCTTTGTGTCTGCCTCGTTAGACTTTGGGCTTCTCAAGTAGAGATCGTTTCAAAGAAAGACTGAGATACTTTAGTGCAGTCTGCAAAGGCAAACATGTGCACGAAGACATAATTTTTCAAAGTCAATGATGACAGTTGAAATAAAAGTGTTTCATGGGTAACTTCGTTCTAGCCCCAAACACTTAATTCTCAAGATAGAAGCGAGCGATCACATCTTACATATCTTTGAAAATCTCAAACAGCACCTTGCAACATAGAGATTATAGCATAAAGAAGCTCAGGAGAGGGTTCCCTGGGTACGGTATCAGTCACCACGGTTCGAAATCTAACCCAACTCGGGAACATGGGAGCCGGGCTGGCGGGAGGACACGGGTAACAGCGTGTCCCATCCCAGGGAACTAAAGCAGAGGCAGCCGCTGGGCACCCCGCTGGCCACGCGACAGCACCTAACTACCCTGGGGTGGGCTACCAGGCTGACCTTCGCGGGGGGCAGTGGGGAGGCTGGGAGTTGAGGTTAGGGTTCACTCAGCGGGTCCTGTGGCTAAGAAGGGACGTAACAGAGCAATCCCTCTTAAGCGTAAAGCATGGTTCTGCTGAAGGCGACGAAGACCAGTCTGCAATGGAAGCCTGCCCTTCGATACACAGACACGGTGTCGGCGTCTAAACTCAACGGAGCTGACCACTGGGAATTTGGGGTACACAGTATTTAGTGAAAATCAGTGTTTCTTGGAATTTCATTAGATTTAGGGCTGTTACTCTTTTTCCAGCTTAAGAGTCACCCCCAAAGCCACCAGCAGCCTACGGGTGCTCCCTGTAAGTTGGGTGAGCACCCACCTGCCCGGGCTAAGGCTGCTGTGAGCTATCCCGGGGTCAGTCTGGGGGACTTATGCTACCCCAGGTCCTCACAACTCCGTTCACTCTTCTGCCACCTTCCTTCCTGTCCAAAGGTGCTGCTCCCCACTGGTCCCCCTCCTTTCTCTCGCTCCCCCGCCTTGGGGGTGGCGGCACGTTAGTCCAATATGACGGCAGCTGTCACACTCTGCTCTGATTCTTATAGCGTCGCACCTAAAATACAAGGATAAAACCAGCAATCCGGGAAGACGATGCCGAACCCAATGGCCGGCCTCATCGTCCACGTCAGTTCTCAGAACATGAACCGTGAATCAAATCATCATCGTTTTACCCAGAAAACTGTGGGCGGGTTTGTCTTCCACCACGCGAATCCTCCGAGCCCCGGCGGGAATGATAGCAGCTTCGATGTAACCTGTAGCAACAAATAACACACAGGTGAACCACACCTGCACCCTCGATCAGAGCCCCACGCAGCCTTGGCCACCCAAGTCCCCTCTGCCACATCCCCACGGTGATTTCGGAGCCTGCAGGCTGGTACAGCTTTGAGCGATCAAGATGGTCAACTGACAAAAAGCATCCTTCTGCGGCCAGAATCTCTCAGCGGCCCCAACCCCAGAGCACGCCGTCTGCATGTGTTCTAGGTTCAACTGCATCCCCCCAAATTTATAGGTTGCAGTCCTAACCTGCTGGGACCTGATTTGGAAATGACGATTAGTAAAGATGAGGCTGCGCTGGAGTAGGGGGGGGACCCTAATCCACCGTGACTGGTGTTCTTATGGAAAGGGGAAATTTGAACCTAGGGAGCATGGAGAACAAGAAAAAAGGAAGCAAATATCGGGGTGATGCATCTATAAGCCAGGGCAAGCCAAAGACGACCAGCAAACCACCGCGAGCCAGGAGAGGGGCCTGGGACGGGTCCCTTCTCCCTGCATCCGGAAGGACCCAGCCCTGCCGACAACTTGACCTTGGAGCTGTGAGACGTAACCGTCTGTTGCTCACATCACCCGCATGCAGGACTCGGTAATTGGGACAGCCTGGGACCCTGCGTGAAAAGCACGTCCCTCGGAGCGCGGGCACAGAGTGACACCTCTGGACACGTCCCCTACTGGAGGTTCCCTCTCTTCGCTGTGCTCTGACGTTTCTCCGAGTACCCACCGGTGACAGCAGGACCTCAGCAACTTGCCCTCTGACGGAGGGACAGCCTTACGCACTGCATGCCACGTCTGCCTCCACTGTCCGCGTATTTCTGCAACTATCACCATCTTCCTGAGTATGTCCAAGCACAGAGGCAGGCTCGCAGAGGCTGGGGTCACCCCCTGCCCATGCTCTGACCCCAAATGTGCCCAGGACAGCAGGTGGTTGTTAAGGTTCGGGGAGGAAATGCCCGAGGCCGTGATGGAGGAAGTCAGCACCGGGCCAGCTGGGCGACCTTATCATTGAAGGAGCCCTGCACGCTGCCGAAATTCTGAAACGCAGGCTGGTGATCATTTGTTTTCATTTTCATTTGGGTTTTGGACAAGGCTAATGAGTTTGCTTCAGCAATTTAGATGCCGATCTCTAATTAAATTATGAATTGTACCCCTGGGGTTCCCCAATGTAGTCAACAGAATCAGGAGGAGAGCTGCAAAAACGAGAGATTTCTGGGCCCGACTATGTAGAGATTCCGGAAATATCTCTTTTGAGGGGTTTAATTGCTTATTTTATTACAGTAAAAATGGCTTGTTATTATAAAAAATAATGTACGATAACTCAAACGACGTAAGGGAGAAAGCCCAAATCAACCTATTCCGCACTGCACTGAGAAAATTATCCCGGAGGAAGTAATATTTTGGTGACCAGCTTTTTAAGCATCTCTTCAGCGTATAAACATACTCGCGTCATCTTACATGAATAGGATGTTACACGTGGTTTCAAAAGATCAGGGACACCTTTAGAATAGTGAAGACTCTGGCCAGGCAATATGCGCTCAAGGTACAAAACTCAAAAGTTATAATAGGATATAGTTGAAGATACATTGATCTCATAGGACATATCCTACAGTTGGCTACCTTTCGAACACTCTTATTATTTATAATCCTTTGTATACTTTGGCTGGATTTCCACATAGGTAAATGGATATTAGTGTGGAGAATTCAGAGGCCAATCTGATGCTTTCCTAATAAAAGGCTGCCTAAAATTTGGATCGGATGCTCGGAGGATTCTTAGGTTTGCATTAATAATTTCGTAGTTTCGTATTGATGCTTCCTGGGACATAGGGCTATTATATTATTATTACACTTAAATATACTTTTCTGACCTATTCGTTTGGTTTTCTTTTTCAGGGATTCTAACTTATTTATGTTCGGTTTCCATTCTCTGTCACAGTGCCTGTTTAATCTCTCCTCTTTTTGATCCTTTGTTCATTTCCATTTTGCAAAGGACTAGTATTTCCTTCCTTCTCATTTCCCCTCAGCTCCGCTAAGTCCTGTTGCATCTCTGTGGCTTCATCGTATCGTCGCATCTGCCTTGAGGTCCTATAGCTCAGCTATTTCTGGCCTTATGGAGCTACTGTTTAACAAGTGTTGGGAATTTATGCCAGTAACATCAGCTCAGTTTTGCTCTAGGAATGCTTCTCTACTTAAAAAGTGTGACGCCACACACACACACACACACACACACACACACACACACACACACAGTCACCTTTTAGGATTATAGGACTAGGTTTTGTACCACAGATTTCTCTTAGAGAAATCCATTCCTTCTGAGGGAGTCTGATATAGTAATGTGTCCAAAACGGAGACAAAAATTGTTCAGGGTCGGTATGACTAAAACCTTTTTCGGAGGAATCTCCATTCAAATCACCAAACGGAAGAGTTTTGGAAAAGGATCTGCCTGGGGAGCTGGATTATTCTCTGAAAGAAGCCACTGTCACGTGGAGTCTTCCTGTTTTGTGACAAACAAACCTTGGTGTCAGCATCGCAGGCTGCAGAACCTGAGGCAATGGACAGGGCCAGCCTTGGAGGTCCAGATTCATGTTCCGCACCCCTCAGCAAGCGAGTCACAGTTGCCACCAATGCACGGTCACCACTCCTAGTTTTAAGCTTCACTTTGGCACAAGGAGCGACATTGAAAAGGCATCTGTGTCCTCTCTTTTCTCACGTACCCTGGGGTGCAGAGGTCGACGGGCAGTGACGAGCTCAGGGCAGATGCACAAGTCAGGGGGAGCTCATCCTCAGGTGACCTCTGAGCACTGAGGCAGGGGCATTGTTGCCGTGTATAGGCTCTGCTAAACTTTCTTCATGGAAATGGGGGAGACCAAGAAAACAGTAACCCGTCTCCTGAAAGGCAGGTCCTCTGTTCACGAACCAGTAAACCATCTCTAACTCACTGTTCTCTTTCCGGTGGCCCCTGTTCTGACTCAGAGCTCAGAAGCCCCCCAGGGATTGGTGTAAAGAGCAACCAGGAAGCACAAGAGTCCCATCACCAAACCCAAAGGCGGCTCGTCGTCCCTCAGACCAGATGTCACCCGATGCAGACACCAGACACCATCATGTTGACCGGACATGAACTAATTAAAGAGGAGATTTACTCTTAAGAATTCATAAGACAGAGTCATGTTTTAGATAAGCTAGCAAGACGTTATCTTGGAAATAATTTCCCATTCTAGTCTCTGCCATTAAGCTGAGATATCCAGTTAGAGGGACACGATTTGGTTTCATGAGGAAGCCACGGATAAAATTCAATGCCTTTGCCATTGTTCTAGAATGTGCCATTTTTGCCTTAGAGACAAGTTAGTGAGAAGAAACTTCAGAGTGAGGTTGACCTAAAACTTGTCTCAAATCTTGTAAATATTAATATTAGCTGGTTAATATTAATTAGACCATTAATATTAGACCATTAATGAGACCATTTCCCTGTGAAGGAAATTTTAGTTGAATATCCCAAGTGGAAGATTTGTGGGTCGGGGGTAAACCGTCACATTTCTTTCCCTTGTGTTTTCAGTAGCACTAACTTTTTTGGAAGAAAATCATTTTGCTGGTGACGTGCCATGCCGGAACACAGGTAAAACCCTGGCTATGTGGCCTAGGACCTTTTCCCCAGGTTATATCGCATATATAAATAATTTTTTAAAAATCAAAGATTTTTTTTGGTAACTAACTCATATTTAAAGAGGTTTTTGTGATAAGTTGATATATTTCCATTTTTACAAAAGTTGTTCATGAGAATATGACTATGTTTGTGTTTCCCCTAAAGATTGTTTTGGGTCAAATTGCAAGGAACTCATTGCTTGGGAAGCCCATGAGACTAAACTGATACTCTCGCCCACCCCTCAGGGTGTGGGGTCCACGTGGATGGGCCAAAAAGGCCATGGTTTTTACCTCCAGCAGGAGGACCAGGAGGGTGTCGCATACCCCCAACCCTGTAATCTGCAAACTCTCCTGTGCAGGGAAGTGCCATCTGTGGCTAAATGTCCTGGCACGTCGTAGCGTTTTCTGCTAAAGAAACAGGTGTGGCCGAGGAGACCAAAGATATATCCCTGGCACAGTGACGTGCTTCCGTCGGCCCCCAATCCTGTGACCCTATCTGAGACAGCTTTAAAATTGATTTTATCTTATCGTTTTTTTTTGGCAGTCCGTCTTCAACATCGATTATCCATGAGCAGTACATGGACTGTGTGATTATCATTATCCGTGGCTTCGCGCATGCCTCGTTCCCGCTGACCTCCTGGGAAACGTCTGGGCGTGTAAGCGAGGCAAGCACCCACACCAGGCACGTCACCGCCATGCCGTGCGTAACACCCGAACGTCTTACACGAGAAACACCTGGGAACAGCCTTTGCCATCACACACGTGGACACCTTCGTGCAAAGATCATTCCTGACTGAGAAAAAGAAATACATCGTGGTTGGTTCACGGGCACGTTTCGGGAACCGATCACAGCGGAGACGAGCGTCGTCATGTGTCATGGTCACGCAGTGGTAAAGCCCCATGGAACCTTCATCCACCACACCGGGAGGCTGGAGCGCAGAGCCTGGCATGTGGCAGGGGCTCTAGAGGTGAGTAGTGAACAAATGCGTGACGTGCGAATCTATCCGCCTTCAAAAGGGACAGATGATGTCGCCTCCCCTTTTGAGAATCATTGATCGAGAGGGTTCTAAGAACGAAGTGCAAAGGGATTCACGGCCCATAGGCGCCAGGGTTGGTCCTCGGTGGAGACTCCAACCCAGGTGTGTCCTGGATGTCCCTGGCAGTGGCCAGCTTTCAGTGTCAAGGACGGCATGGAATAAACACAGTAATGTTAAAATGACAACTTAACGAATGAAGGGAAAGCATCACGCCTACTTTCAAATCACTAAATTCAAAACACTTAGCTATTCAGCTCCACTGAAGGCTTGAGCGTGAAGCCTGTTCATCAGAAAAGCAGCCTGCCCGCCAGTTCTAGCCCGCTGCTTCCACAAGCGAGCTGCTGAGGGCTTCGTTTATCTGCTCTAGATGCTCAGCTCAAGGATTTAGGTAAAAAGGCCCAGAAGAGTTCAAGCAAGGGTCAGGATTTCATATTACTGGGCAAAAAGCCTGCGCTGGATTGCTTTTTATCTTTCTGGTCTGGTATGTCTCTCTGATATTCGCCCTTAAGGGTGATGAGACATTCCTCCTTTGGAGTGGGAAAGAGATGAAAGTGACTTTCCTGTCTAAACTGCCAGGATGAGCAGGCCACCCGGCCACACCCGGAGTCGCCTAGATGTTATGTGACCCGGGCCTTTATTCCACTTCTAAGCGGAGCTTTTCCTTCAGCCTGAAATGTACCCCCTACCCCCCCACCCCGCCCACTGTCAGTTGATTCCTACCTGTCCTTTAGTGCTCAGCTGCCTGGGGCCCTGCATGAGGCGCCCCACTGAAATTGGGCCCTCCACCACCCCCGCTGAGCTGCCGCTGCCTCACACCGGGACTCAAGCCGTTTGCCTGGGCGTCCCTGCCCTGGACGGTGACCGATGTGGTGACGGCTAAGTTTTAACTCTGTATCCCTCATGCCTAAGATGTGGCTGCGTTGGGTGAATGTCTGCGGGGTGAATAGACTCATGGGTGACCGTGCCAGGCTCTCTGCACGTGGGTGTTCCAGAAGGGTAGACCACGACGACAGGTCTGCTTAATGAATCTATCAGCGACAGGCAGCCGGTGGTTCACGCAGGTGTGAGCGAGCATTCCACTCACATCTTCAAAGAACAGGGTACACGCTGACGCGAGTTCAGGCTCACAGACCCCAAACGTGAGGATTTAGGGGGCAAAACCAGCTTTAGACTTTAAAATGAAGGTGAGACATTTGGCGACCGCTCAGAATGACAGAACTTGAACAGGCGGGCGAAGCCGGCGTGGACTCAGATGTCCCTGAAGCTGGGAGAAAGCACACCGAGCCACAGACCGGGTGGGGACAGCTGCCCCCACGAGGCTCCTGTGGAGGACTGGCCGCCACAGCCACAGAGGCCTGGACTCGCCAGGAGGAGGGCTGCACGTGCTCGCCTACCGCCTCCTGTGCCCAGGTGGGGCCGGGCATGGGGCGGGGTGGAGACAGGGGAGAGGAGGAAGGGACGTCACCGTGGATGGAAGAGTGGCTCTGCCCATGTCACATTGTGGATCAGACGCTGGGAAAAGAGAGGGCGCTGTGGCCCCATCTGGGCTCCCTCGTAAGGGAGCCGTGTTGCTGTGCGCGGGGGAGGTTTTCAGAGGTGTGTGGGGGATGGGCGCGGCCTTGCTGCCCACCTTCCCCAGAGCGAGCGGTCGCAGCCGACGCCGTGTATGGGAGCTCGGCACGATGTTCAGTGTTTAAGTAAAGGGTTCTAGCGCTTCCCTTTATAAATAAATTTCTAGAAATCAACCGCAAGCCCTTGCCGGCCGCAGGGGTTTTACTCCTAAGCGCCTTTGCCGACACGGCTGCGGCAGGCAAGGTGAAAGTCTCGTGCGAACCGGTGCTGGGGTCCAGACAGAGAAAATGGCATCAGATATGTCAAAACAAATAACAGAAATCGCCAGAGTTCCAGAGCAGCGTTGCCCAAGAGGGCTTTCTGCGATGACAGACGTCTCTGCGATGCCCAACACGAGAGCCACTGGCCACATCATCGCCTTCACACGCTGCCTCAGAGGCCACGCGGCAGGCGCAGGCTGTCACACAGCTTCCTGTTTTGCAGACTGGACGCCTGTCTAAAATCCTGAAACCAGCCCTTACTTGACCCGAGACGTCATTTTAAAATTGAATTTTGCGCTCGCCCAGGAATCGGCTTGCACGGGATCCTGCAGAGTTTTTGCAAAGGCTGAGTGTTTCCACCAGGCTTGGGGAAGCCATGGTCTTCCACGCACAGGAGGAAAGGGGGAGCGTGCAGACCCTCCTCTGCACCTTGTCCGTGGGGCCTGTTCTGTGGGACAAGGAACTGTGGGTGGAACCGAGCTGAAAAGCTTCTACACAAAGCAGGAAAACCAGAAGAGAAGATTTTTAGCTCGGTTCCATCCAGTATTTTATCGTGGTGACATCTCTCTCAGTGACACTGGGTGAGTGGACAGTCACGAAAGCTTCGAGAAGCGCTCACCCGCAGGATGATGTGCCTGCCTCACACCCGCCTCAGTAAGAAGCGACCTGAAGCTTCCCTGCCATCATAAGCTGGTGTCCGTCAGGACGGAGGCCAGACACCACCTCCCACCTCTGGGCGAAGGGCCCGCAGCTGTGAAGGGCTCGAGCACAAAGACTCAGGGCCACGCCGTGCTGGGGCCGTCTGCATCAGGGACAGGAGACTCAGCCCGCAGGCAGACGGCAGAGACTTCTCAGACACGCCAGAACCTCGGGCTCTCACGCATGTTTTAGGGACGCGCGTAAATGTCTCCTACCTTCACTGGATTAAAACTCAGAACCAGAGAAAACCTCTTCCATCTCCAGGTAAAAACTACGCAGCAAAGTGTCTGTGCCGCCTCCTCTGAGTGCAGGTCCCCAGATGGGCGGACGCGAAGCCACAAGGTGCCTGGTCGGGCAGCTGCCCTGGCATTCGCGGACCACAGGGCTGCTCTGCTGAGTGCCACCGGCGGACTATTCAGTCCGAGAGACCTAAAGACCTCGTTCTGGCTAAAATGTCCTTCAGTCATTGTGACACTGCAATACCAGGTCACCTACCCGTCATCGACCAGCCCTTAAGTGTGAACTGCAGGAAAGACATGTCATCATCGGTTTCCGGGCACAGAAAGTAAAACCTACGACACACGTCGGTTGCCTTGTCGCTGCGGCTGCCCCATGGGCCTCGCACTCACCTGTCCCCCGAGAGTGGCTGAAGTCGCCCTTCACCACGCGGCAGGTCCTGCCGTCCCCGCTGCAGACCCCGCACCGGTCTTCCTTGGCCGCTGACCCGATGATGCCATCACAGCCGATTTTCTACATGACCAGAGAGCCGGGTTATTCTGGGTTCCGGACCCCGAGGGCTTTTAAAGAGGGGGCCTGTCGGACTGACTCCCCCAAAAGTGCCTGGGGCCCACGACACTTTCAGAGGCCTGAGAACGTATTTTACTTTAAAACCAGAGGGAAAAAAAAGGAAAGGCATCCAGCTTGTATATGTGTCATTACACCCACCCAGTCATCAGATATGTTCTTTTGTATTTGTGACAGAAGGGAGCCCACTAAAGTGTCCCCGATGGCCCGGTCTGGAGCTGTCCGAGGAGGGAGTAGCCAGCTCCCACGCATCACCCGGTGTGGCCACAATTTCACACGTGGCACGTCTCCCTCGGCGCTCTGCGGGTCACCTGTTCCTTGGCTGAAACAGCCAACAGTGTCAGAAGACACAGCAGAAACCACCCTGACTCTTCTGCGGACGTCCGGAAGCCGGAGCTCATTCAGGCTTGGCTGGGAATGAGCCCCCCAATTCTCAGGGAGACCAGGCCCAGGAAGGGCCCCCACCTCTCAGACCTTCACCAGGCTTGTCTGAGGGCCGAGGAGGGGAGCCCCGACCCCAGGTGGGTCTGGACAGCACAGCCCAAGTCACTTCATGAAAAGTGGGAAAAGGCTGTGAATTTAAAAAAAAAGGCACAAGAATCTCGTATTCTGCAAAGCATCATGACTAAGTTTGTTATGATACGTAGCGAGTGTGTAATATTTGACTAGCTGAATTGCTGAAATGTCCCTGCACGTTTTCTCCCTAAAGCAAACTTTTTGCAACAAGAGCTGGGTTTTCCCACTGCCCTGTACCTGTGCCAGGTGTCTCAGCTCTTCCCTGTCGTGCCTGGACGGGCGCTGGCAGGGTGCTGCCCTCCTCACGCCCCGCTCCCAGCCCAGGGACCGGGCACCGAGCAGAGCTGGCTCAGCAGCGGACTCCCCGGAGGACACTCGGCCCCCGGTCACCAACGCAGAATCCTCCGCTCCGTGACGGCCGTGGCTCGGCCGCATGACGACGTACCTGTCCGCCAGGAGCGTGTCGGACACAGACTGCAGGGCCCGGCCCAAGACCCGATCCAGCAGGCCTGAGGGGGCTCTAGGGCCTGTACTTCTTGCAGGTTCCCTGCTACATTGCGTGGGGACAGCGACCCTCTTGGTCCTGCTCACCACTGAAGGCCCAGCACGTGGAAGGCACTCAGGAAATCCTGGAGGGATGACTAAATCGCGTCACCCCGTGGACTCTAAGTCCAAACCGACTGCCCCGCTCTCCGTCACGCCTTCGCCTTGGTCGTGGGTTCACAGAGTCTGACCTTCCCGACACAGCGTCCGCGCACAGGGGACGGTGTCTTGTAATTCTTTGTCTTCGTGTCTCCCAGGCCGTTACACGCAGTGGCCAGCGTGTTGCTCAGCACGTAATACGTGTTGAGTAAATGCGTAAAAATGACGTCCTCTCGACAAGCTGGGACCTGGGCAAAACTGGGAGTAGGAGACTTTGGATTTCAAACGGGTCGCCTGCCTCTCTCTTCTGTGCCCCCGGCCGGCCGGCCTGCGGCCACGCTGCCTCCTGCCCCAGCGCTGTGGCCCAGTCCTGTCGCATCTGAACCGAGACTTTCTCGTTCAGGTTGTGGTGGTCTCCGTCTCGGTCTTGTTTTCTGGCTGGGAGAAGAGGCTCCTGCCACCTCCCATTACGGCCTCATTCTCTTCCGTTGTGGGGACGCCACTGGCTTCTTGCTTTAAGCTGAACTGGACGCTTTCGGCCAGTGGCACCGCCCTCGTCCTGTTGCCCGGGCTCCTGGTTGGTCCCATCATTTCCTGCAGCCCTCAGTTCCCTCTTTCTTAACTTCATCCTCGTTTTGCTAAACGACACGCCATCTCCTCAGAACGGATGCCTGGAAAATAAAACTTCGGATCTCTTTTGTGTCTCAAAATTACTCTATTTTGCTCGCATGCTTAGTTGATGGTTTAGCTGCAGAATTCTATAATCATCTCAACTTTTTTAAAAATATTTTTTGCCAGGGTCAGTGTCTCTCTTTGATTTTCTTGGTCTTTCTCATTTCTGCTGCTGGTTTTCCTAGAATAGCGGATCATCCCTGGTTGACCACTGTGATTTGAGAAGGAGGCACAGGGAGGCCGCCCAGAGCGCTCTACGTTGAGGGCGGGGGTGTTTCCTGGTAGGCTTCCATCCAGGACTGGTGGGAGGGAAGCTGGCATCTACCCAAACCCAGAAGGGTGAGCACCATGCTCAAGCACCGAGGTCACACGCCTGACCCAGCTGTCTGTGAACAGTCTGTCACACAGCACTGCACAGGGGCCCCCCAATAGTTTGCCTGATGATAATCACCGCACAGCCCGCTAAGCTCTAAGTGCGGAGCGAGGCGTGGTCGGCGATGCTGGCGAGTCCGAGTCATCTCGATTTCAGCCAACTCCTCGCTCTCGCCCCCCTTCCCAAATCCTGGACTCCCTCAAGCATTCTGCTTTCTCTTTGGCTGCGACCCTCCACTGGTTCCAGTTCCGGCCTCTGCTGCTTTGCTCCCGCCATCAAACTTCCGCCCACTTCCGTCTTCCACAGAGAGGTGGCGTCACTGGCCACAGGGTGACCTCCGCTTCTCCGCACCACCGAGTCCGTCTATGCCGCCTCTGCCGTTGGTCGAGTGGGGTCCCAGGATGGAGGAGGAGGGAGCATGTGGCTCAGTGCTGTCGCCACCCAGAAGTTGGCATGGGGGGTTAATTAAATAAAAGGGGTGTGGGGAGTGACTTCAGAGTTTTAGGTCTGCCATCGATAAAGGTCTGGCACCGACAGTCACACCCTTCGGAGATGTCACTTCAGGGTCACCTGAAGGTGTCACCCTTCGGAGGTGTCACATCCATGCTGTGATGCATGGCAGCAACCAGGAGGGCGCTGTTGAAATACAGCCGGTCGCTTTTCCTGCATGCTTGTTACCCCTCCGTTACATGGTGGACTGAGGCCAGAGTCTCGTAATTCTCCTAAACGCCACCGGTCATTCTGCTGGCCGAATAGACCACTGTACGCAAAATTGGGAGGCCAAAAAGTTCTGGACAAAGCGAACGGCCCGCCAAAATGGGCTCCGGATTCCAGAAGCGCCGAAGTCCTGAGATCACGTCCCCCAGCCTCTCGGGCATCCACTGTTTTGATTTTGCTTTCTCTTTTCAGTTTGAGATCAAAAGCTGTCCTCCACGCCAGCTCCTGGAGGAACACAGATAATCAGACACCAGCCCTCCCCTGAAGAAGCTCACAGGCTCTGAAGATGTTTCATTTTGGTTCGGTGTCCATCGAGCTCAGGACAGGTATACAGAGTCGAGTCCCAAAGAAGTGTGACCCTCAGTGGAGCGTGTCAGCTGCACGTGTACACAAGCCGCTAAGGCCCTACAGAAACGCCAACCAAGCACGTTGGGCTCTGTCCGTCAATCTGACTCACCCACGGAAGGCCAGTGGCTCCGAGGCAAGGTGTCTATTAGAGGCCTGTTAACTCGATTTCTTTGTTTCCGGAGGCCAGCGGGAGGAATTATTAATGATGGGGCTCCTGATTTATAGGGACTCGCTGAAAAATAGACAATGTTTGTGTTCTTTCCCCCAACTCGCTCCCGCTTTTACGAGCGCTGTTAAGTTCCATTTCGGCACGTTAAGTAATTTGTGACTCACTGAAATGAAACTTAACTCGGGCCTCATAAAAACAGAGTAAGATGGTATTTCCGTGTTTCATGTTATGGTTTGAATCAGCCTGCTATTTGGAGCTTACTGGAACCTGCTCGAAATGCCCTTTTGGATTCTCTTGTCTCTTCCATTCCCTACCAACGAGTTACTGTGTTTTTCAAAATTTCCCAGAACTCCTTCTGTTACCCCCAAAGAGCAAAATTTATAGCTGATGGGGCGAGAAGGAAAAGCTGGTAGTTAAACCACGGCAATGTTTCTGTAAGTGCTGTCCGATGTGAAATGTGGATGATTTCTGCCTCGCATCCATCATCATTAACACGTTTCTATCGACAAACAGGTACAGACAGACTCTCTGCTCGTAAACCCGAGATTTTTTGTTGCTGTTATTATTACTCTTACTATTTATCTCTTTAACCGACTTTCCTTGCCTTACTCATTCTCAAGTACCACAGGAATCCAGAACATTCTGCTTTGGCAATGACTATACCTAGGCATAAATGCTGTATTTGTATTTAATTTCTTCTAATCTTGTTTACCTATGCTCGATTTTGTTATAAAAATTCACAAACTATGACTTTACTAATTTGGATTTTTGGGAGAACTGACTTAACAGTGGGGCTTAAAGTTAACGTTCACAGTTTCTCTCTGAAGAGTGACTACTGTTAGAAAAATTACAGGTGGTATTTTTAGCTTGCTTCAGAAAGCGAGTTGTTTCTCAACATTTTAATCTCGTGAGGTGCTTGCAGGGAGCTGCTGCCACCCCCCACCAGGACCTTCTGCTAAGACCAGTGGGCTGCCTGGGGGCAGCGGGGCACTGGGGGGCACGTGTGCAGAGCAGACAGCACTTCCGAGAACTGGCAGGGGGGTGTCTCCATCAGCAGCGGGGTGTCAGAGACAACCAGCCCTCCCGCCCGCTGGAGAGCCCTGTGAAGGGTGTCATGGTGTGCCCTCTAGTGCCAGCCTCAGGGCAGGGGTCAGTAAATGCAACGAGGGCAGCAGCGGAGGCGCTGAGGGAGCAGACTGGAGGGTGGGGCCGGGGGGACATCTGGGAGTGAGAGGCAAGTGTGCCCGTGTCAGTCCCGTCCTACCCCAGCGCAGGACAGGCTCTGGCTCGATGGCCCTAGAACCACAGACTTACGGCTGTTAAAATGCCTCGAGTGGCATCTCATCCCTGTGGTGCTGACTAAACCTCTGCTGTCACAACACAGGGACGGTCCCCTAACTGAAAAGGCTGCGATTTGAACCGGGGAAGGGGCCTGCCGGCACCGGTCACTTAGAGCTGAAATCGCGTCTGGCCACGTGACACGGCCCCCACTGGCCACAAAATTTCAGGATTCTTAGAAATGCCTGATGCTGGCAAAGGCTGGAGGTGGCTGGTGCTGCCCTCAAGGGTCTGAGCGCCTTTACCTGGGAGGGAGTCAGTGGAGGAGGCGCAGTTCAGGGAGGAGACGCAGCCTGCGCCTGGCTTGCCAGTGTCAGCGATGCCTCCTTTCAGTAATTAACGGTAAGACCTGAGTCCGCACAGGCCCTGCACGTTCTTTGCTCCGAGGCGGCAGCCCTGGGGGCCAGCTCCGGCCCCCTCCACCCCCGTCCCTGGGAAGATGCTTTGCCAAGACTCCGGGCACCAGACGTCCATCACCCTCACACGTCTGTGTCTGATAACAACGCCAGGCCGTGCCAAAGGAGTCTGGCTGTCGCTCAGCTTTTCCCTGAAAAAGCCCAGTTTGGGACTAGTGTGGACGTCACAGGGAACAAATCCACGAAGGCTGAAATGGCCTCAGGGATCATCGGAGAAGCTGTCTCTATGTGTGTCTTCCCGCCTGTCTGCTGTCTACACCGCCTTCCACTCACTCTCCACACCCTGTGGGCTTCGCCCCAGGACGGGGGGTGAAGTGGAGAGAACGAACCCGTCTGCTGCCCTTGGGGGGACAAGCGGGCTCCAGACTTGGGGCAGGATTGTGGCACAGCTGCAGTTAAGGGGGGACAGCAGTGTCTCTCCCCTGTAACCCCTGGAATTTACAATTTTTCAAATGTTTTTGACATTTCGCTGAAATTGAGTGTTCGAGATGAGTGTCACCTTCAGAACATGGGGGAACTCTGAAGCACGCACAGCCACGTGACTCCTGGAGCCACGTGACTCCTGGAAAGCGGTTTCTCTTTTCCTGGTGAAAATCAGAAGCCCCCTCAGGGGTCTCTGACGAGCAGACGCCTTGTTTAGGCTCAGGTCAATGGAGGCAAAACGAGGAAAAACAAAAACTGGAGGAATAATCTGGTTTCCCATCTATGACAAATGTGTGACAGTCCTGATACCCATCCGCCTCCTTGGGGCCCGGAGGACGGTGGCCTCCTCCAGCTCTTGGTGGCTCCCCTGATAAGGACAGGGCCGAGGGAGCTTGGCCGTGGGATGGTGATGTGTCCCAGGCTGGGGGAAGGAGCTTTCTGGGCCTCGTCGGGAACGAGGGCACGTCTGGCACGTCAAGGTGGCATCACTTGGGCCACACCCCTTCGGGCAGTGGAAATACTCAGCCTCCAGACCCCCCACCTTAACCCCGGCCACTGCACAGCAGAGGGCGCCCATCCTGACGGACAAACGGGCAGAATACCAGCTACACCAGGCCCGCGGGGGGCCGGGCTACAGGTCCGCCCCGGCTCAGGTACATTTAATACAGATGGAAAGTGATTTCCTTCCCTTTCTCTTATTTGTCTTCTTAAACGACACGTATCATTGTTCTAATGCGTCACGGACATCCAACAGTGGCATGGATCTGGGGACTATAGTCCAGCGGGTGTAGTGGTCCCCCAAAACCAAGCACGTTTACCTCCCCGGTTGCCATCTGCAAAGACATCTGCTTAGATCTGCTATATTTTTTGTAGCGAAACAGGGCAGAGCTCGTCGAAAACCATGTGTTCACACACACCCTCCTGTCTTGCCTTAGCGTTCTACCTATACTTCCCTTCGTCACAATGTCTAAAGTTATTTAAACATTTTTGAGATTATTATGTTGCCACGATTCATTCAGGCACCCCGACTGGAGGTGAGCTTCACGCTCTGTCCAGCTTGCAGAAGGCAGCACCCCTGGCACCTTTTTAAAAAAATACCCATCCCTCAGGCCTCCCAACTCCTGGACCCTGCCCGACTCCAAGCGCCTCTGGCAAGAGGAAGCCTCCTCGCCGAGGCCCCACCGAGGACACAAGGAAAACGAGTCACCTGGCACCTGCCGTGCACGCAGAGGTCGGTCTCGTAGGGCCCGCAGGGTGTGCCGTCCAGGACCCTGTCGGCCACCAGCAGCGGGGAGTCCTTGCCCAGAGGCGAACAGTACAGTTCACACGGCTTATCTGAGGAGGGAAAGGGGTGAGAGTTGGCGTGAGAAGGGGCGTGTGAGCCATGCCGGGGGCAGGTGGTGATTTTGCAAAGGAACTTCCCGAGAGAGCAACAGTGACACCTTTGTGGGGCCTCTGTCCCCCAGTGAGTGGGTCCTTGCAGAGGTCCTGGGGGAGCAGCAGCAGGGGTAGAGAGAGTCCTCTGGAGTGGGTATGACCTCAGAGGACCTCGCCATCCCAGCTAGAAAGTTCTCACTAGGGCAGGTATGCTGTCTCACCCAGAGTCTGGGGCTTTCGCGATGGAATGGCACTCGCAAAACCAGCGGTCCCCAACCTTTCTGGCACCAGGGACTGGCGCGCCTATGAGGATCTAATGCCTGATGACCCGAGGCGGAGCTGAGGCGGTGATGCTGGCGCCGGGGAGCGGCTGCACTTACAAATGGAGCTTCGCTCGCTCACCCGCCACTCACCTCCCGCTGTGCAGCCTGGTTCCTAACAGACCATGACCAGTACCGGTCCGTGGTCCAGGGGACCCCTGCGCGAAACCAGTACTGTCTTCAGCAGCCTCACACGGCTCCTCCCTCCGAGCGATCACCTCGCTCAGTGGGAAGTGTCATCTTAGAACACCAGAGAGAGGTCTTCTGAAGTCATAAGGAAGGGCCCCTTGGCCAAAGCAGTTTGAAAACTGTGGATTTAATAACATTTAAACTCAAGTGCTGCATCGATACTTGGAACGAGGGAGCTTAGAGGTGATTTTTTCGACAGCAGCAATAAAGCTGATGATGGCGACGGTGATGATAAAATTATAAGTATCTACCACGTGCCGGGCAGCAGGCTAAGCAGCGTCTGCACTGCAGGTGCGTGCGGTCACTGTCCTGTTTTGCAGATGAGCACGCGCGCGGCTCAGGGTGTGCACCGCTGCCTGGGGTCCCTCAACCTCTTAGTTTCACCCCGATTTTCTTTCCACCACCGTTTTTTTTTTAAACTCTAAATGGAGAAGAACTCTGGGGGCCGAAAATATTAAGCGACAAAACGGTGCTGCTGAAGACAAACCACCAGGTTCATGGACGTTTCGGCTCCTGAGTGTAGACGCTGATTTGAGCGGGAGATGGAAATGGATCGGGATAGAACATTAAAGGCTCTTCTGAGCTAAGTTAGAAAGAACAGAACCGGAAGGGGTGCGACTCGTCGTCTGGGCTCTTCGGTGAGAGCATCCGCGAGGTGGACGCTCCAGGACTGGGAGCCCGACCTCGACGGAGAGCTCGTGGCCAAGGCCCCAGGCGGGAAGATGCCCTCGGTTCCACCTGCACACGACTCTCCCGCCCGCAGACACCGTCCTCCACGGCTCGGGCGGTCTGCGGACACCCAGGTTCCAGAACGGAGCCCAGAGGTGGCACTTCCTCCCTCCGCTAAGCTGGAACTCCCTCCATCGATCAGCTCCTTCTCAGAGGACTCCGCTCAGAACTCGGGGCGCCCCACATCTCTAGGAAGACGTAAGAGCCTCTCGAAGTTCTCTGAGGCGGGTGATCCGACCCCAGGGTGAGAGACCCTGATGAAAAAGACGAGCTGCGGGGTTCGGCTTCAGGCCCGGTGCCACCCGCCTACATCCTTAGTCGCAGAGAAGGGGGTCAAGTCTTCTTTAAGTTACACAACGATACACTCGAAGGAGAGAAGGCTGGAGCGCCCCTCTGGCCCAGACGGAGTTCTGACCAAGGCTGGACTGTCTGGGGTGGGTCCCGGCTTCTCACTGGCTCACCTGTTGTCAGGACTGATGCTCAGATGGGGGACGCCGCAGACATGGCCGAGGGGACAGACGCAGGGGCTTGAGAGCCACGTGAGCCATCTGTGTGGTGGCGGCTTGGAGGGTTTTCGCTGGTGGCTCCTTAGGGCTCTCGCTGTCAGTAGTGACAAGGTCTAACCAAGGTGGAGACACCGCTTAATGCAGAGGCTGTCACGAGCGCTCGCTGGAGCCCTGCCTGGCCTTCTGTGTGGGACAAAAGCTGAGGAGGCTGTTCAGGCCCCTGTTCCCAAAGCTGCTCACAAGCGTCAGCCGACGGGACCTGCGGTGGCCACCTAACCACAGCAGGGCTCATCAGTTTCTCTCCCCTGAGAAACCACACTGAAATTCCCTCCACGGACGCTGTCTGCTTGTGGCTGGTGGATATCAAAGACGTCTAGACCTTATGCACAGTTCGGAATTCATGAAGGGTCTGAAAACGGCTAGTGTTTTCTTCCGTTTGTGGCAAACACATTCTCCCACTTGGAGATGGCTGCTTGTGGGTTCCCTGGTAGAGAGGTGTCTGCTAGGGGTACTTCCCTGCACCCCGCTGGGGCTATTTGGTCACTGCACTCTTGTTACCTGTCTAATGCCCAAAACGCTCTGACCTCTGAGCCACGTCTGGCCCCAGAGGATCTGGATAAGGGACGCGGACGTCTGGGGCAGGCTCTGCGGGCCGCCCGTCGGCCTGCACGTGGACGGGCTGCGAGAAAGCCGGTGTGCAACGCGACAGGAAGCCAGGAGCCGCACGAGCCGAGGTGGATGTGGACCCTCTGGCCTCAGGCCCCCTCTCCCTGACCCCTCGGACCTGTGGGACACCCTGCATCTTTGTGACAACTTCTCTTTTTGATTAAGCAACTCCGGCCGCTTGGCTGAGCTGGCATCAGAGACCCTCACCATGCTACCCGCCTGTCCCCTGGAGGCTCAGACCCGGAGAGGTCCAGCCCTGCCAGGGAGAAGGGGCTGGGACGGTACTCTTACGTCCAGACACGGCCTCTACCGAGGCCTCCGCCACCTCAGTGGGCACATGGCCCGCTGGCCTGGCCAGGGAGGCCTGGACTCTTGAAGGTTCCCACTTAAACAAGATTCCACGGGGAGAGTAGAATGGCGCGGGTTTGGCAACGGGCCACCTCGATGGGTTTCTGTCTAAAGGCTTTTCCGCGGAGAAATATTTTCTAAGGAGAGTCTTTGCCTTCTGGTCTTCTGTCGGAGGTAGTATGGGTTTGTGGGCCTGAGTCCTCCCCTGGAAAAATCTACCATTCGTTTTTCACTTATTTTTTTTTTTTCAGCAACAGAAAAAAGAAAAAATACAGCTTCCCCTTTCTTGCACTGTGCGTCACTGGGCAAAGAATTCCGCAGCGATGGCAATGTTATGAATAGGGCGGTCAAAACGACTTCTGGAGAGCCTGGGGCCCGGCCACACGGACCGCTCCTGTGACGGCCCGGCTAGCGTTGTGCCTTTTGCAAACTCCGTTTTGAGAGGGGCGCTTATTATCATCTGTATGTCCCCGCTGCCGTCTGCACTGGCCGTTTATTATCTCATCTTTATCCTTGTGAAATGCTCCTTTGAAAAACTGCTGGCTTCTGTTTATATTTGAAGAGAAATGAAACCAAACGTGTAAGAAGTCCTGACAATGCCACCCTGGGGGAGATGGGTCGAGCTACCCTTGCAAAGCCTTGAACTTGGGCTCTCTCCTTCAGAGGCGAAATGCTTACTCCCTGTTGGCCGTCCTTTTCAAACGGGGTCGACTTGTCAGATCAAAGGTGGTGGCACTCTGGCTATCGTTATTTCTTGTCTTGGCAGAAAGAACCAAAAAGCGGGTAGGTGAAAACGTTCTGAACGCAGCGAGCTTCCCCGAATAGCCGCCAGGCGAGGCCTCCTGGAGGGGGCTCTGGGCCGACACCAGTGTCAGCCACCGCGACGATAAGGGAGGAGCCGAGCCGTCCGACAGTGGTGAGAAGCAAAACAGAAGTTTAATCTGGACTTGGAGGAGAAATCGGTGGAAAAACAGACATTGAAGAGAGATTTCTGCGTTGAAGACACGAGGCAGGAGCACCGCAGACTGAAGCGAGACACCAAGGGAAGATCGGAAACTCTGCGCACGCAGCGGGGCGGCCACGAGAACGGGCGAGTCTGCCCCAGACCTGCCACGGCCTGCTCCCGAGGGGTGGCAGAGGACATGACGCTGACCCCGGGGACCTGTATCTGGCAGTCCGGTTTGGCTGAAGGACTGCGAACACGCAGCTGCTGCCAGTGCTATCTCCCTCGGGATTAGGGACGCAGAGCATGCCCGAGACTTCTGGAAGCTCCTGTGTCTTCTTGCATCTGACCAACAGCCAGGCAGAGGGCAGCGGGGGCCACGTGCGAGCCTCTCCCTCCAGCTGCCTACGGTCCTCTTGGGAGGCTGGGCCACCTCTCTCGCCTCATCTGCTGGGTAGGTGAGGGGGCAGGTACAGTCACACGGCTCCCAAAGGTGGTGCTCTTTTTTAAAAACGGAAAACATCAGGCTGAGTGGGCTGGTGTTGCCAACTATGAGAGAGAACACCCCACGTCGCCTTACAAGAGGGTTCAAAGCCGATGGGTTAACGGCTGCAGGTCGGAGGCCATTCTTCGCTGTGCCGGCTGGGCCTGTGTCCCCTGCACAGCTGCGCACACTTGAGCGTGCAGCCAGCGATGGCATGGTGAGATTTTTTTCGGAGGTCCCTTGGGTCACGGGCAAGGAACTTTAGACCTGGGGCAGGAACCTCACTCTCCCGCAGAAGGCTTTAGAGGCTGTGCAGAAATCGGGCGCATTTGTTTGAGTTCTTATCAAAGCTCCCCCACCCGGCACTCGTGACATCTCGCTATCTGTCTCGCTCGAGTATGAGAAGCCAGATGATAGCTGGTCGTTTTCTGAGTCCGCTCCCCCGGAACTGGGGTCAGCTCCCTCTCTGCTTTTCATCAGCTGCAGGAGCTTAGACATGTCACGTCAACTGTGACCTCTCATTTTCCATGTGGCTTGTTTTGCATAATAAATGAGATGATGAATACGGGGCTAACGTGTGCCTGGCACATGGTAGGCTCGATAAATGGGACCATATTGCCATCATTAGAACGCAGTCTGACTTTCTGCAGATGAACAGAATTTTAAGGGCAAAAACTCTGAACTGGATCCTGCGGGATCCTTCTCAACGCTAAACAAACGCTAAACAAACGACATAAATTCTGGAGCCGCGATACACCATCTGGAATGTTATTAGCCACCGGGAAAGCCTGCGACGGCCCAGTGGTCAGAGGCCCTTAATCTGGGAGAAAGCTCTTAGAAAGAAATGTGACCCGAGCTTATCATCATGTTCACCAAGTTGTAAACTGTCCTCAAAAGACTTTTCACCCCCCCGAACACTTCAGTCAAGGAGTGAGAGCCAACCCAAAACGACCCGAGGAAAGAAATGCGAGAAGGCGTCCACACTGGAAAGGAAGAAGCAGACACACCGGCCCCGCCCTGCCCCGCACAGCCTCGCGCTCCTCTATGTTGGCCCTGGGCCCCTCAGCACCGGCGGCGAGCAGTAGGCTGCGCGTGGGGCTGCAGGGGGAACCTGGGCCGCTGCCTGGCTCGCAGCTGCTTTTGGGAAATCTCACAGGCCTGGGTCATCCAAGTTCAACCTCACTGCTCAGGAAGTGGGTCCGAGGCCGACTCGGGGCCGGAGGACTGGAGTGGCCTGGTGGGTGGCCTGTG